CTTCTCCCTCTCCCTCCCCTTCCTCCCCTTCCTCCCGTCCCTCATCTTTCCTCTCACAGATCATGCGACTGCAGTCTGCCATCCGGGGTGACCCTATCAGCAGCGGGGGCGGCGGAGGCGGCTCCTCCGGACTAGCGGTTTCGGAGCTGAAAGTCCGCAGCAGCTTGAGCAGCATCATGCAGCCCTTTCGCGGCGGCCTGACGATCGCTAGGTGCGCGCCATCCGCCGCCGCCGCCAGCGGCGGCCCTATGGCCGTACTGTCCGCTGGCTACGCGGTCATTCTAGGTACAGGCGTGCTAGGGCGCGTTCGGATGTGTCCCCTGCGGCCCCGCGGTAACGATGACGTGGACGAGTACTTCATGCACGCGGCAGACGTGACTCAGGTGCGTATATATGTTGTTGCGTCTTGCTGCTGGACGTGCGCATCAAATGTGTGTGTGTGTGTCTCTGTGTGTATGTCCACATTTGCGTGTGCGCGTGTGGGTGTGTGCATGCGTGTGTGCGCGTGCGTTAGCGTGTCAGGAGAGGAATCTTGGATTTTCGAACAAACCACAAAACGCACTCACTCTGCTTCCCGCACAGGTGGTGGCGCACCGTGATGGCCGTCTGGTCTTCACCACAGACGCCAGCGGCTGCTGGATGATGCATATGCTACTGCCGGCTGGGACCCCGGCAGCCTGGGCGGCCGTGGCGGCGGCCGCCGCCGCCGCCACCAGCAGCGGCGGCGGCGCTGACGCCACCGCCGCCACAGCTGCCACCACCACCGCCGCCGTCAGCCCCATGCCTGGCGTCGTGGCCTCCACAGGGCCCTTGTCTCCTGCCGCCAGGTCCGGTAGTCCTTCACGACAATCCATACCCGGCGGCGGCGGCGGCGGCATGACGTTGACCAACCGGTCCATATCAGGCCTGGCGGCGGCGGCCCTCGCGGGCCAGTTGGGGACTCACGCGGAGCGTACGACAGCGGCGCACCGCCTGATGCAGCTGCTTATGTCAGCGGCAGCCGCCGGCGGGAAGGCGCCGGTGGGCGTGGCGGCGGGGGCGGGACCGGCGGCGGCGGCGTCCGCCGGCGGCCCCAGCGCGGACGGAAGCGTCGGCGGCGGTGCGCCGGCAGCGCAGCTGATTGTTAGTGTACGGGCGGTGGACCTGCAGAACCTGAAGGTGCGACGGCGAAAAAAGGCTTGTTAGCTTTCCTCGTGGTTTCTGGGAGGGGTAATAGATTGGATGTTGGGTTGTTGGGTTGGTTGTACGACAGCCGGTGTTCCCTGACGCTGTCTAGCTGCCTGCCCGACCGCCTGTTATGTACGACCACCATCAGTTGTGGCTGATTCTCTGTCTCCCCGCCATTGCAACTCTCCCTCCCTTTTCTCCCTCCCTTTTCTCCCTCCAAACCTCCCTCCAAACCTCCCTCCAAACCTCCCACCTCCATCTCCCACCTCCCACCACCTCCACCACCTCCACCACCTCCACCTCCACAGGAGAGTCAGAGGGAGCTCAAGGACCGATTAGCCAAGGCGGCCACGGAGGCCGAGTACAAGATGTACGAACGGGAACAGGTGGGTGCGTTTGGTGCTTCTTTTCCGGTTGGATGCATGCATGCAGCCTGGAGGGTGTGGAGCTCAGCGCTCTCCCCACCCGGACAGCGTTCCAGCGTTCTGAGAAATAATAGTGTTGCTTTGTGCTCGTGTTTTATCTCTTTGCATTTCCGTTCCACCGTGCCGTTGCCGTTCCGCCAAACCACAAACTCATTTCCACGTACAGCTTTACATACATACCGACGTACACCCACATTCCCCGCCCCCTAAACCCCCCCTCCTTCACCTTCTCTCCTCTCCTCACTCCGCGCAAACCCCCTACCTCCCCTTCTTTTTTAGCAATTTCCCGCCCTCACACACGCACCCTCTTCCCCCCCACGCACACACATACACACCGCCTTCCCCTCTCTCCCCCTCCCCCCTCCGTACCCCTTCAGGCTGTTCGCCGTGAGTTCGAGGGTGAGGTGTCCCGTCTGCGTCACGAGGTGGAGGTGCTGAGAGCGGACCTGGAGTACACCCGCACCACAGCCAACGACGAGGTCAACGCGGCAGCCAGGCTAAAGGCAAGGATGGGGGACGGCGGGGCGGCGGGAATTGCTCGTAGTGCGCCGCTTGCCTGCGGACCTATATATACATATATATTTATATATTTATATACATATATATTTGTGTGTTTGTGTGTGTTACGCCTTCTGGAGTTGAAACGTTACTATCCGAAGTCGTCGCCCTGAGGGGATCTCCAAGCAAGGGCCAGTCTAGGGCTATATGTGTGTGTACGTGTATGTATGTGTGTGTTCTTGTACGCGGGTTTATATAATTCACCCTCCTCTAATCCGCGCCTCCGTCACCCCACCAACGCCGGTGCCTTCTTCCGCCGTGGCCCCCTCCAGGCGGCCATGACCCGGGACTTCGAGCGCGCGCTTCGAGAGCAGCAAGACATGTTTGAAAAGAAGTGCGTGGGGGATCGGGGGTTGGGGTTGGGGTTTTGGTGCTCTGGGTGCGGGGTTTGGTTGGAAGGGGGGAAAAGTGTTGGGAAAGGGTTTTTTTTGAAGGTTAAGTTTAGGTGACATGACACACACGTACACGTACACATGCAGTTGTATTGGAAACTCCTACTCCACGTCGCCGGTGATTACTCGGAGCTCGCTTCGGTATGGAGCTATTCTCCAGTGGTACACCACCGGAACCGCCAATGTCCCTCAGATTCTCAGATGTGGGGCTCAGATTATTGAAACATACACCCACACAGACGTACATACATGCATACAAACATCGACACTCCTAGTTCGTCACTTTGCGCGGGAAATACCTTCCTCAACCCGGTGGACAGGTTGGCCGCGGAGATTTCCCGTACAGATGCCGCTGAGCGAGAGATGCAGCGCCTGCGGGCCAAGTTTGGTCGCAAGCTGTGGCAGTTGGACGAGCAGCAGGGGGCCATTGTACGGGAAGCAACGGAACGGCAGTCGGAGTTGGAGCAAATTATTGAGGCAACCAAGCAAGATGCACAGAAAGGTGAGTGAGGGGGCCGGGAAAGGGGTCCAGCCGGGGGATTTGGGGGGTTTGCGGGGGGAATTTCTGTGTTTTTATGAGGTGCTGGGTTGCGGGCGTGGGTGCGAGGGATGACCTCCCCTTCCTCCCCTCTCCCTCTATCGCCCACCTCTATTTCCCCAACAGCCCCGATGGTCAAAATTTGTTTCTTGGGCTCTTGCATTTCATTCCCCACCCCCCTTCCCTTCATTATGGGGGCCCCCCCTTCACCGCCCTCACTGGCCCTCTTCCCGCTCCCTCCTCCCTCCATTCCCAATTCCTTGCAGCCATCGCCGCCGCGCACATCCAGACGGAACAGGAGCTGCGGATAGACGGGGAGCTGAACGAGGAGGAGCTGCAGCGGGCGGCGGATGCGGCTCAGAAACAGGTACTACACGTCTGAGTGATGAGGGAGGGGGGCGACGGAGGGACAGAAGGTGACGGGGATGAGGGTTTGGTGGGGATGAGGGAAATGGGAAGAAAGGAAAAAGGGGAATGGGGATCTGCCCCCAAACCGCCAGCCTCTCCTCCCATTTTCCCTCTCTCTCTATATATATATGTATATCTATACATATATATATGTATAGATATGTATATATGTATAAAATTACCCTAAAAGTTGATCCTCTTGGTGCTGGTGCTGGTGCTGGTGTTGCTGCTGGTAGTGTGTAGTGGTGCTGGTGCAATTGCCATTTTCACCCGACCAACTTTGGAAACCCGTGAACCCGAGGGAAGCCTCAAGGAAGGACCCTCCCCTTTGCCTTGCCTTGCCGTGCCGTGCCGTGTGTGTTTCCTCTCCTCACTTTTCAGTTGGAGGAGAAGGACGAGGCCTACCTGAAGCTGCTGGCCAAGCACACCCTGCAGTCGGGACTGAACGCCAAGACCACGCAGGAGAACGAGCGGCTCAGGGTGGAGGCGGAGGCGCTCAGGAAGGAGAACACCAGGCTGGCGGAGCAGGTGGGGAGGGGGGGGAAGGGGGGAAGGGGGGAGGACGAACCACGTGAACGAGTGAAGGTGATGGTAAGGAAAGACTGATGATACGCCAGAAGTAAGGAAGGCATAACTAAAACCAGTCGGGGGTTGTGAAAGAGACGTCCTCGTGATGATGTAGTAGTCATGACGAGTGCGGAAAACTACCTACATATCCGCCAAGACTGAATTAAGTGCGGAACGAGAGCAGGAAAACCATCCGTGAGACTGTATAGGTAGGTGTAAAGGTAGCGAAAGAGCAAAGGGGGGAGGGGGAGGGTGAGAGGTGAGGGGCTGTCAGAGTTGCATGTGTTGTGTGTGTGTATATGTGTATGTGTATGTGTATGTGTATGTGTATGTGTATGTGTATGTGTATGTGTATGTGTATGTGTATGTGTATGTGTATGTGTATGTGTATGTGTATGTGTATGTGTATGTGTGCATGTATGTGCGGGTGCGTCTATGTGCGGGTGCGCATGTATGTGCGGGTGCAGTGTCAGGGTAGCTAGCGTGCCAGGCTGAGTGAGGGTTAGGGGGAGGTAGCTTGGCGTTGGCTGCTTTACTTTGGACACAGCAGGAGCAGCAGCAGCAGCAGCAGTAATTACCCCCCCCCCCAGATAACCCGGGCCCTCAATCTTCCGCCCGCTACCCCACCTACCACTACCCCCACCCCCACCCCATTACCTATCACACCCCACCTCCACGCCACCTCCCCACCATCATCTCCCTCCCTGCACCACCACCCGCAGGTCATGGCGCTTACTGAGGAGCTGGAGGCGATGCAGAACGCCTGGGCTGACCGCGACGCCCGTCAGCGACACCAGGATGCGGAGATGAAGGACCTGGCCTTCCAGTGGCAGCAGTCGCAGCTCTTCTCGACCCTGGCCACAAGCCGCATAAAGGAGCTCAACAACGAGCTGGAGCCCATCAAGGCCAGCAGGACGGAGGCCCTGGCCCATGTGGCACAGGTGGGTTGATGGGGTAGGTGGGGGGTTGGAGGGGGTGGGAGTGAGTGGGGGAGTGTGTGTATTTGGGGGGGGAGAGAGCGCTCGCTGGAGTTTTATGTGTTCAGCAGCGGAGGCCAATTTGCCGGATGCCGACGTCCAGAGCACCTGGTGTGGGGGAGGAGGGGCGGGGGAAAAGGGGAGAAGGGGCGAATAAGGTGGGTTGTAGTTGTTATTGTTGTGGGGGTGTATATGTGTTCTTGGTGTCGGTGGAAGGGTAATGCGGAGAGTTGGGGACAGGAGGGCGTGTTTCGGATGTAGGGGAGGGTTTGGGTGTGGGGCACCCGCATCCCGAGGCGCCCAACACGGTAAGTCAACCTGTCTGTATGTATGTATGTCTGCATGTCTGTATGTCTTATCTGTCTGTCTGGCGTCTGTCTGTCACTCGTCGGGGGTCCCCAACTTTTACTTCCCAAATGCAGATGGAGTCGGTTGCCCAGCGGCAGTTGGAGCGGCAGGCCAAGGTGGTTTCGGAGAACGCCTCCCTGCAGTCGCGACTTGATGCCGCGTACGATGAACTTAAAAAGGCAAGTGTACGGAGGAGACATGTATGCATGCATGTATGTATGTATGTGTATGGGGGAGGTAAGGGGAGATGACGTGCACAAGGGCCTAGGTGCTAGTGGGAGTGTAGAGGAGGAGGTGATACGACGATATGCCGCAACCAGGGGAAGGGGGTGGGGTGGGGCGCAAAACATTGATTGGGGGTACAACACGAGGAGAGAGCAACAAGGGGAAAAGGGGAAAGTGAGGGGCGTGGGGGGACGGTGGGGTTTGGGGCTTATTCTTCAGGACTTTGGGAACCATGGCCTCTGCTAGTTTCCTCCTCTTCACAACCGCAACTACCGCAACCACGGCAACCACCACTATTCCAATTCTTCCCCACCCAGGTCAAGGGCGACATGTTGGAGCGGGAGGCCTACTTCAAGAACTTCACCACGCAGCTATTCAGAACCATCCAGGACGTGCCACACCAACACTGGCCCAAACTTTTTGGCCGCCTCATAGACGATTACCACAAGGTTGTACAATACGGCTGTCGTACCACTGCCGTACCACTGCTGTACAATATGCAGTAGTGCCGCCGTGATATTACGACTTGTACTGGACGGCACTGTATTGCACTGTGAATTTTAATTTATACTGTTCTGTCTAGGGCGGGGAGGGGGAGGTGTAGAAGCAGCACTGGTACTAACAACGGCACACCAGGACGGATGTGATGTGATCTTTCTCTCCCCCTCCTTCCTCCTCTCTCAACCCACTCAGACTCACCACCTCACGGGGCCAACTCCCATCTCTTTGAGCGCCGTGTGTGTTTTACCCTCCCCGGCTGTCTCCTTAACCCCTCCGGCTCCCCACCCCCACAACCCCATTCCTCACTAAGGCAATCCAATGGTTGCTTCGTCCGGCATGTATGGATCCCTCTCGCGCACCCCTCTCTCCAATCCCCTTCCTCTCTTCACCCACCCACCCATCCCCCGCCTCACAATCGGCAGCTGTGTCTTTTTCAAGTTTTTGCAAACAACGTAAAGACATCACCTCCCTTCGCCCCCCCCTCCCATCCCCGCTCCCTCCCTCTCTCTCTCCCTGCCTGACAGGGCCGGGATAAGGCCTCCTGGTCCAGGTACCTGGCGCCAGATCATGGACCCAATGCACATCCGCCCCCCGAGGAGAGCTCCAGGGTGGGTGGTGCGAATCAGCCGGGGGGGGTGGGGGGCTGGGAGCTGATGGCGGCTGGGGCCGCAAGGGGGAGAGAACAGAGAGGGGGGCAGTCGGTCTGTGTGTGTGTGTGTGTGTGTGTGTGGATGTGTGTGTGTGTGTGTGCTGGGGCCGAATAGGGGTTAGTGAGGTTAGGCTGGATGCGGAAGCTTTTAAGGGGGGCTTGGCAGTCTTGAAGCCGGGTTGGACATGTGATGGGGTCTCTTGATGGTGGGTGCAAAACCACACGGGGTTGTGTGTTGACTGTCAAGGCTGTGACCCCACACACGGCATGGCACCCCACCAATGTCCCAGCTGCACATCGTCCCCTGTGATCGACCTCACATTGATTGCAGCACACACGCTTTTACACATTCCCATGCCCCCTTGCACGCGCACATAAATGTATGAGCAGGCCCCGGCGTCCGACGCCGCCGCCACCGCCGCCGAATACAACGAGAAGATCGCCGAGCTGCACGCCCAGCTGATCCACACGGAGAAGATGTTGTCCTTGCTGACGGACACCAAGGACAAGGCGGACAAGGCGCGCAGGGCGGTGGTATCGAAGCTCATGGCGGACAACCTAATGGTGAGGGACTGAGCTGTGAACCGACTGCCTTGTCTAGGGGCCTTTTCTGCGCCAGAAATATGGGTTTTATTGGGATATCTAAGTCAGGTTTTTCCTGGGCTTGAGCACACGTTGTATATCTATCTATCTATCTATCTATCTATCTATCTATCTATCTATCTATCTATCTATCTATCTATCTATCTATCTATCTATCTATCTATCTATCTATCTATCTATCTATCTATCTATCTATCTATCTATCTATCTATATTCAGGGCTTGGCAAGTAAAGAAGCATCTTACTTGTGCGTTTCTGCGTGATAAGCTTTCCTTTGTTACGTACGACACGCCGTACTATGTGCCGTACACGCAGGCGGTACAAGAGCTCAACGACGTGAAGCGGGACCTCAAGGCCGCTAGGGAGCTCGCGGAGAAGCGCTCCATCGAGCTGGCGGACCTGCGGATGAGCCTTGCCGTGGCGGGGACCGTCACGACGCAGGTCACCAGTCAGGGGTCGACGACACAGCTGCCTGGCGGCGGCGGCGGCGGCGGCGGCGTTGGGGATAGCTACCCGCAGGGCCTCGCGGGTCGTGCCATGGCGAGGTTGCCGTCGCGGTTCAGCGACGCCAGCAAGAACACCAGCGGCTCCGCCGCCGCTGCGGAGGCGGCGACGACGACGACGGCAGCCGGCGGCGGCGGCGGCGGCGGCGGCGGCTCCCTGCCGGACCACTCGACGACATCCGTCTCTGCTTCTGTACACCCCCAGCCGGCCATGGTGGTGACGGGCGACATGCCGCAAGGCGGCTGGTGGTTGGGCGACAACAGCCCCTTCGCGCTGCCGTCCTCCCTTGACCACCTGACCTCGTCGTCGCTCCGCCAGCGCGCTGTCAACAGCAGCTACGACGGCGGCGGCGGTGGCGGCGGCGGTGGCGACCGGCCAGGCACCGGCGGAGGCGGCTTGCTGGGCAGGCGGCCGGCTACCAGTGCCAGCACGGGCACGAGTGCCGCCGTCGGCCGCATCTTTGGGGGCAACCACCACCGAAGCACCTTCACGCCGCCGACGCCGCCCCACGCGCTGCTGCCGGGCCGACGGGCCGACGGCGTCGCCACCGCCTCCGCCACGTCATCATCCGCCGGGGGGAGCTTGGTGGCGGCGGCCGTCTCCGGCGCCGCACTCCAGGCTTATAAGGTTCAGCAGCAGCAGCGGGACCAGCAGCGGGACCAGCAGGTAGACAGCACCAGGTCAGGGTCTCCTCCAGAAGGTGGTGACGGAGCCTCCGGCGCCGACGCCGCAGGCGGCGGCGGAGCCTCTGCCGCCGGCGGCCCAACGCTCCAGCGGTCGTTGTCGCCACCGCATGCGCCGGTTCAACGGCCCACACGTGCCACGTCTGCAGGGCCCGTGTCCAGCTCCGCTGCCGCTGCCGCAGCCGCCGCTGCCGCCAACGGCGGCGGTGGTGGCGGCGGCGGCGGCGGCGCCCTACAACACACCCACCCCAGTCCCGGTCACCGCGCACGTGTACGGAGCACCTCGGCCGTACCGACGCTGTCTCTGGGCTCGTCACATTACGGCTCCGGCGCTACCTTGCTGCCTCCAGGCCTGACCATGCCGTTCCTGCAAGGCCAAGTACGGCCTAGTACGACAAGTAAGGTCACCACGATGGGCGCAGGGTTTCGGAGCTTCGTCCCAGCGCAGAGCGCCAGCGGGAGCGGATCCCGCGGAGGGCTCCCCAGCGGTGGCGGCAGGTGACGACCTACCTTTCAGTTTTAGTGCTTTGGACATCGGGCGACGGCGGCGCGATGGAATCTGCTGCGGTGGTATATCGCCTGTGGTGATTTGGCAGTGGCAGTTGGAGATGTATCGTTGACTAAGTTGAGAAACGACGTGTACATGGGTATGCATGTATGTATATATGTAGCTCAGGTAGGCCGTTAATGAGGCCGCTAATGGCACACATGTACGATACGCACTTCGTTGCATACTTCTTGTGTCCCGCCTCCCTCCCCCCCCCCCCCGTGCGCGCTCTTCCTCGCCAGCCCCGCGTGTGTGAGTTTTTATGATCTGTGAGCCGCGATTGCTGTGCGTGTGTGTGGGCACGCTTATGGCGGTACTAGGCGGGTGTGTGAATGAATGCATCTACCTAGGATAGGAGATTACGTGGTACGATTACGGCGGTGTACGACATGAATGGGCTGGCAGGTGGCTGTGGGTGCGTATATGCAGATCATGGGAGGAGCCGGAGGCTTGGGGGTTAGGGGTGGAGGGTGTGAGGTGGGGGGTTTGGGGTTGGGAGGTGGGAGGTGGGGGGTTTGGGGTTGGGAGGTGGGAGGGCCCCTCGAGACTCAGGAGGCAGTTTGGGGTTTGGGTCGCTGGTTGGAGCGAGTTGGCGGTGGGCAGTGGCTGCACTCGGTGGCCCTTTCCCCAGACACACCCGGCAGGCCTACCGCTCCACCCGCCCCGCCCCGCGCCGCTCCGCCCTTCCGCAAACTGCCGATCTGAAGGAGCGCCAAGGTGGTGGTGTTGTGGGAGGGGGGGATGGGATGGTTGTGTCGCTTGTCGGATTGCTGTGTTTACGTACATCGCTACCAGGGTGTGCCTTTCCTCTTGACAACACGACGTGGTGTGTGGTGAGCGGTGAGTGATTTGGTGTGCGCGTGTGTGGTGGTGGGGGGAAAGGGGGGTTTCGCCGCTGGGGAGATGGGGACCCGTTCACACGCTGTGGGAGCAGCAGCAGCAGCAGCAGCAGCATTTGCAGCTGGGAATCCTAGGAATCCTAGCAGCGGTGGATTAGGTGACTGCCGGTGAGTGGTGGCGACGTTTCGGTGGTCAGGTCCGCCATTACGCCACGTTTTGGTGGTCAGGTCCGGCAACCCGGCGGTGCACCCTGGGGTGGGGTGGGAGTTCAGACGATGATGATGACGTTTTAATCGCACGTGACACACGGGCGGTGGTGGTGGCGTGTGTGTGGTGCGTCTGTGGGCGGCGTGTGGAGCCGGGTTGTGTGATATTTTATCTAGTATTTATCTAGTATCTTCACTGACTACCTTTCCCTGGTTTACTTGGGGCCTCTCTTGAGAGCTGTTTTCTTTGCATTGTCTGAGTATTAGCCAGCGAACCTGAACATGATCTTGGTTACTCAAAACACAGTAAAGCTCCCCTTTAGGGGATGAACTAGACGGATGCGTTATGGCGCTGGCGCAGCAAGGGTGGGTGGAGCAACGAGCAGTCTGAGCCCGGGCAGGTTGAGAGGGGGGGTTGCTGTGGCCTGATGAGCTGGTCTCGGCTGGTCCGGGTGTTTGCGTGTTCCCTGTGTTGGGGAGAGAAATGCGTTTGTCTTTAAGGAACCGCGAAATGGTGGACTAATACCTAACGTCGGTCGTATTACTTCCCCCGACCATTCGGCTTTTTAATGACTTATGATATGACCGCGAAATGACCGTCATGGAATTTTTAAGTTGCCATGGATTGAATATTGGTGGATTCTGTGTGCGACACATGGAATCGACTGTACGGCGGCTGTACAGATCTGTGTACAGACCCGCAGAAGAGCTATGGGAGGGGGAGCGATGAGAGGTCTGAATCCCGGGGGGGGGGGGCAGTAGCTGTCTCTGAAGCGCGGAGGGTCGTCCTGAGCTTCCCGGGCCCTTAGGGTGCGCCGAAGGAAAGGAGGCGGAGAGTGCGAAGAGCTTTGCTTCTAGAGATCCGCTTCTAGAGATTTCGCGAAAGGAATATCATTTAAACCGCGGGAAAGCGTTTTGTCTCTTATGTAAAGCGCAGTTCCAGCCGTGGACGTCACCCTTCAAAAGGCAGCCAGAAGTGCGACACAGCCGTCGTTGCAAATGTACGTCTACAGTATGTGCCTAAACCAATATAGCCGTTTTGGCCGTGCTATCAGATGTACGGCCCCAAACAGCCTGTAGTCGTACAGATCTGAAGACTACGTAAAGGGTGCTGTTATTGCGCACCATGCACCCCAGGTTTACCATTCACAGTCGCAATCCAACCCAACATGAAGCTGGCGGTTACCCATTCGGACTTGGTGGTGAGCATGCATGGTGAAACAGTGAACCGGAGGGTATCACCCAGGGTTCGTCATCTGTCATCTGGGGGTGGGGTCCTGGCCGGCATCTGCCTTCCGCGCTCATTTAAGTATGAGGAAACAATATCTAACTAAGTTCACATGGTATCTCGATATCGCGGGGAACCCCCCTTGTCTCATCTAGCTGAGCCCCGAGCCTCATCTTGACCGCCTGACAACCCCCGTCAGCCTCATCTAGCTGTCCCGACGCCTCCCGTCCCCAGCAGCGAAGTGGAACGCCGCTTCTGTGGGAGAATCAGAGGCTGGGTGGAGGCGAATAGGAAATGGTGGAAGTAGCTGCGAGCGCGGTTTACCGGAGGGTCCGCTCGACAGGGTCCTCAGCCTACCCGGTGCACACCCCATCTCCCTGCGCACCGCTTCCTGCCCTCTCTTACGCCTGCTTACCTGACCGCAGGACCAACACCTTGCCTGTCCGGTGCCGGGTGCGCCTCCCTCTTACACCCCTTCCCAGCTTTCCCTCCTCCCTCTCTTTCCCGGAGTCCAACCTGCAGCCGTTTCCGGGTTGCCACCTTCTTCCCGCGCCTACAGTGTGGATGCTCAGGTTCGTTCTTCGGTGTGCCGCTGCTTTTGCCCTTAGCGACGGCTTATCGCCGTGATCCCCTCCCCCAGCCTCGCCTTCCCCAGCCCTACCTGGGGTGCCTCTCCTCGGCTCGTCACCCTCCCTCTTTTCCTCCTTCTCTGTCCCTCGGGGCCCCTACCACCTCGACCCTTCCGTGGCCTGGTTCCCCCTCTGGGCTTGCCGCAGGCTCCCGGCCCCTCTGTTGCTGCCCACCCGGTAGGCCTGCCGCGTGCCCGGTCCCACAGGCGTCCATACGGTATATCCAGAGGTCGGCAAATCGGTTTCTACGGCTGCAGGAGGGCATAATTCGGTCACAATAAACCTAAAAAAAACTGGATAATCCGATCATAATTAGCTTATCGGCTATTTGGTCCTCCTTTCCGAGAATGTGATATCAACAAAAAATCGTCCAGCAACATTTTTATTATGAGATGAAGTAAGCAACATGCCCTCCCCGTTGTTCCCCCCAGAAAACGCACACAACACGCCCTCCCCACAGCTCCCCCTCTCCCACGAGCTGCACCGGGCTTCACACGCCGAAACCTAAACGCCAAAAGCCCACTGAAGCTGACCTCAATGGCTACCTACCTACGGCTTCAAACGGCCGTCCCCTTCCAGCCTCCGTCCAACAAGTGCAACTCGTTGAGACGCCCTCCCTGGCCCCCCAGCAGTAGCCCTCTTTCAGGTGGCAGGTGAATGACAAATCCATTGGAACATTCATGCTCCGTGCTGCTGGTACTGCTGCTGCTGCTGGTACTGCTGCTGCTGCTGGTACTGCTGCTGCTGCTGGTACTGCTGCTGCTGCTGGTACTGCTGCTGCAGCTATTACTGCTACTGCTGGTACTGCTGGTACTGCTGGTACTGCTGCTGCTGGTACTGCTGCTGCTGGTACTGCTGCTGCTAGTACTGCTGCTGCTGGTACTGCTACTGCTGGTACTGCTACTGCTGGTACTGCTGCTACTGTTGCTGTTGCCCCATGTTAACCAGCTCCGACTCAGCTCCCCCGCCCCCCCAGCAGGTAGGACCCCTCCAGGCCCCGGGAGTCCAACCCTGGCAACCCTGGCCATCATCAAAGCCGCGAAGGCTGCGGAGTTGCGGCAGGTGCCAGCGCCATTATGTGCTCGTGTGTGTGTTGCACTGTCATCGTCGTTGCCGGAGTAGGTAGTAGAGCCGAAATCGGCTCTGTCGGCAGCGGCTGCAGCTGCAGCTCCACCGCGGCATTGGAGATGACCACCACATCTCGTTCCACAACCCAAGTGCGGAAAATGACCTTCAGAATGCCGCCGGCTGCTGCTGCTAGTGGTGGCGGTGGTGGTGGTGGCGGTGGTGATGATGATGATGGTGTGGCGGCAACGGTGGCGGCTCCCTCGCCGCCATGCCCTTGCTGTTGCTGTTGCTGCTGGTGTTGCTGTTGCTGGGAATGCTGTCGCGGCCGTGCGCCCGGGCAGGGTGTTGCTGCTGGGGACGGTATTGCTGCTACTGCTACTGCTGGCGCTGATGATGGTGACTGTGGCTCCCTGTCTGTGGCCCACATCTCCACACGCAGCGTCTCCCCGGGGAATACGTGTTTGGAGAAGCGGACCTGCGACATGAATGAAAAAGGCGGGTGTGGGTGATGGAGGGTGGGTGGAGTCAGGTGGGAGGTACAGCCAGTGGTACGGAGGGGAGGGGGAGGAGGGGGAAACACGTCCTGGCGGTTGGGGAGTCGTACAGTCGCCCGTACAGTCGTCATTACCAGGACGTTTGGAAACCCAGATGGAGGTGTTGAGATGGCAGACAGACAAACAGACAAGACAGCAAAAAGGCACGCAGCAAAAAGGCACACAGCAAGCAGCACTTTCACTCGCGTGATGGCGGCGGAGGTGGAGGTCTTCCTGGCGATGGGAAAGGCAGCAGACAGCTCTACTGTACACACGTACATGTACGACATACCTTGACATTCCGAACTCTAGTCGGGTCGTCGCCTCCAAATGCTTTCATCACCGCCCTGACGGATATTCCCAGAGTACACAGCCCGTGTAGGATGGGTTGGGGGAAACCCAGTCGTCCGCTGACATGCTTGTGTGTGTGTGTGTGTATGTATGTGTATGTATGTGTGTGCGGGGGGAAAGGGGGGTCGGGGGTGGGGGGAAGTCTTCAGCGCGGGCTGTGTATGGAGTGTTGGGCCCAGTAGTGGGGGAGATTNGGGGGGGGGGGGCGTCTGGGATTGTGAGCCAGACTTACAACCCCCATCCCTCCACGGCCACGACTCCCATCATAAAACAACCACCACCACCACCACCACCTAACAGCACCACTGACCCGCGGGTCAATGTGCAGCGGATTGAAGTCTCCACTCAGCCGGTAGAGGGCCGCTTGGTTGGGGGAAGTGGGGAAGGTGGCGGCGGCGTCAGGGGGGCGGTTGGGCGGGTTGTTGGCGGCGACGGCGGCGGGAGGTCGCGGTGCGGGGGCCCAGGGGGTTTGTATGTCACCTGTACGACATAAAGCGGCAGAGGCGGGTGCGGATATGGAATGAGGGACCACACATCTGGTTGAGCTATCGCACTTATTCGTGCATACTGTGCACGTACATACATACTTATGCACACGCACATACCCGCCTCCCACCTTTCCCCGGGATGAAGGTGGTAAACTCGCTTAGGGCCACATCCCGGCCGCTGTCCAGATCGGTCGTCACCGTCCGCAACACCACCACCAAGCCGCTTCCTGTGTGAGGTTCGAGTGGTTGGGTGATGGGTAATGGGGGTTGGAGGTTGGAGGTTGGGGTTTCGGAGCAATGCACGCTGACGTCAAAAACGGCGGGTGTGGGGATACACCAGCACACGGAGGGTGATCGGGAAGTAAGGCCACGAACCACATACGAATGAAGCAGGAGGGAGGGGGGTTAGGGGACGTGACCGTGAGGGGTGTGGCGGGACGGGAAGGAGGTGCTTAGCAAGGCACAAAACACAACACGGCAGCTTAGGGCGCGTGCCTGCCTGCCTGCCTGCTGCAGGAGGTCGTCGAGAGGTGGGCTGGGGGCCCTCTCCCGCTCGGCTCCGCCAATATGTGCGTTTCGCGCGTGTGTGAGTGTGTGAGTGTGTGTGTGTGTGTGCGCGTGTGTGTGTGTGCGTGTGTGTGTGTGTGTGTGTGCGTGTGTGTGTGTCTGTGTGTGTGTGCCTCTGTGTGTGTGCCTCTGTGTGTGTGTGTCTCTGTATGTGTGTGTGTGTTCGCGTGGGCCGAGGGTTGTTGCGGTGGAGGTCGCACCCCTCCCCTCTCCTCCCCTCCCCTCCCCTCGCCTTCAGGGTAGCTCCTCTTACTGAGTGGAACACTGTTCACCACACACCCACACCCACACACCACGAACAGTTGCTAGCACCTCCATGGCACGTGTCCCACCATTCCCCCCCCGCTCCCTCCCCCACCCTTGGCCCGCATGTCCA